TCTGTTTTCCAGAAAGCCTAATCTGTAGCAGTAGATTTTCAACAATGCTGAATTGAACTAAAATCACAAAAGCTATATACCCCAAAACACACATTTCCTATGCAATAATCGAATGGGGAAAATCTGTTAACAAGTGCTACCCATGTGTCTCACTACATATAAACCTTCTCTAAGGAATCCCAGACATGAGTCTGGACAAAACGATCAGCTTCTGTGCATCACAGCATGTTTTGGGTCTTAACGAGCAAGGACCTAAGGTCAGAAGGCATGGTCATTTGCTGTTTCTGCCCACTCAACTCCTTCACTTCCTAATCCACGATAATCACATGGTTCTGGAGACCTGGTCTACCATGTTATTTTGAAGCTGATGTTATGATCATCAGCTAAATCCAGCTGTACTCTTTTCTACTCTAGGATTTGACAGTCACTGAAACCAGTAAGTTCCTCACTTTGCTTAAGCAATTTTGTTAATGTTCTGTTCCCTGCAACTAAGAGAATCCTAACACAAGTCTAATTGCGGCTCAGGGACTATCTAGAGCGATGAGACTTCAAGACGTCTCTAACAGGTTATTTCCCTATATTTGGGGGATGCTAGATCACCATACCATATAACCTTCTTTACACACTTTTCTCTTTTTAATTTTGCTTATTTTTTAAGCCATTTTATTATTATTTCTGTTACTATATTGTTATTTAACACATTCCACTTGGGGTTAGTTAATGAAATGTATTATGATTTGATACACAGGAAACCCATGGCAATAGAAAATTGGAAGGAGTTTTAAATTATCTAGGTTACTGTAATCTTCCTAAACTCATCTCTCATTAATCTTTCCTTCTTTGCCTTTAACTCAGCCACACTGACTCCTTGTTTGTTGTTAATGTGTCATTTTTTCATGACTTTCCAATGTCCACACCTTTCTTAATATTATGTATCTGGCCAGGTCCTCATGTTTAGAGTCTGAGTAACGTTCTTACTGAACAAGGTTTGGTGAGCCTCCCCCACCCGCCCCTTGCAGACCCAGCCTGGCAGAGTAGTAGTCCTGAGTGTGAGCGACCCCCCTCCCAAAGGCAGTTTCATGATGTACAAGCCGTAATCAGAGCACCGTTTTCCCAGTGCCTTGTGAAGTCCCAGGGCTGCCCTGAACAGCCACCCACAGAGTACAGAGGTATGGAAGAACAGGACCCTCTGTGTCTGCAGGCGAGCAAGACACACTGAAACATCTTGCTCTACTTCCCTGAGCTGAGATGGTGGTGGAGACTGCTTCTGCTTCGATGGGCTCCCTAAGACCCCAGAGCTGCCCTCCCGATGGGTTTCAGCATTTGGGCAAGCTCTACTGCAGCCACAGGTTGACAGCTCCGTGAACATCAGTCCTAAAAGGCTGATTGGCACTAAAGAGGTTCTGACATTCCATGGCTCCCTAGTTCCTCCCAGAATTGAGTTTTCTCCTACCACCTCCCGGAAAGATGACACACCTCGTTGCTTCAGGTCTACGAGTGACACAACATGAAGGCAATCACAATTCAGCATCTGTACCCTGAAGGGACCTTCTGTCCCCAAGGTGTCACAGATCAGCTCAAAAGTTTAGCCTACTCATTAATATGTTACTACTCACCCAACAGCCAATGACTGGTACTAGAGTTATATGCAGTTGGCTCTGCCTCCGTTGTGAGCCCCGTGGACGATGTGGACAAGGAGGAGCCTTTTGCCCCTGCCCAAATTGCCTTTTTCATTAACCATCTTGGAGCCTTAGACACCCTCTTCCTGTATTTATCTCTGGGCTCATTATAAAGCAGCTCTTGATCTCAGTGGGCTTATTCTGCCAAGTGGAGACATTACTGCTGTAAACATTGACCCAGTTAAAGCACTGGGGAAAGCTGGGTGGGTGCAGTCTGTTGACGGTCCACTGAAGCTGGAATGAACATGTGGTGCCACGGGGCCACTGAAGGTCCAAAAGCATTTTAAAAAGTGCCTGGCGCAGCATGAATGCTCGGAGAATGTCACTGCTGTCGCTGTCAGTATTACTTTACTCTCATTAACTGTTGGTGGAGCATGTCAGCAAGAACTTCGGGTCTAGCAGACACCCTGCAGGCTGCTGGAGTGAAGCTCTGGGCCCTGCTCCACCCAGAGCTGCTCCATTTTCCCCTCTTTCATACATCGGTGATATTGTGCCTGAGGAAAGGTTCTGCCACTGATGCAAAGCACAGAAGCCACTGCTCTGGAAAATCCACCGAAGCCAGAGTTCCCTGTCTTTCTGACTCAGAATGTCTCCCTGACACCTTGGTCATGGCTCATGGGCTCAAGCAAAGGTTGGGGAGCCATCTTGCTGCAAGATAGAAAGACTAGGAACCTCTGGCCTCAAATTGTAGTAGAGAATAAACTTTGTTTTGTTGGAGGTTTACAGGGACACCATGACCTGGCCCAGGGGGATGGCTGCAAGAACAAAGAGCGCCTGCAGCAAGAAAATTACATCAACCAACCATACCCCCTCCCTTATTTTTTGTATACAAGGACCCTGTATTCTAACTAGAGCAGGATGGTTCTCTAAGACATTAGTCTGCCATCCTCTCGGTCTGCTGGCTTTCCGAATAAAGTCACTAGTCCTTGCCCCAACACCTCGTCTCCCGATTTATTGGCCTGTCGTGCGTCAAGCAGAGTGAGTTTGGACTCGGCAACAAAATGATTGCCTTTCAAATGCCCTTCTTTTGAAACGAAACTAAAGAACCCAAAATTACTCATTTGCAAGCTACCCTCTCTCCTTGCCATGTTGCTACAAATGCAAATAGGCTTTAACCTTGAAGTTGAACTTTAAGCAGCCTTTCAGAAAACACACATAAAAATTAATCTTTTTCTACTTAGCCTAGCAAATGGACATTTTTTTAATATCTACCAATATTCGAGGGAAAAAACAACACTTTGTCTGTGCCAAGAAACAGCACGGGACTCACAAACAGTTGCCTTCTCGTTAAAGCGTCTGCCCAGTGGATGGTTGGCTGGTTGGCTTTGAAGGCACTGGGAACAGACACTTCAAGAGAACAGAACTTTGAGGGGCTCAAAGAGCCTTCTTAGAGTTTGTGCTACCAAGTATTGCTCGGCTAAAGCAAAGAAAAGAAGTTTCAGCAGAAGCCGTGAGGGGTCGGAATGGTCTATTATCATTAGCATGCAGTGTATCCAACATCCCTTATGTTGCGCTTGACTATGTGTGATACAATCATCCTGGTCCTGCAGATTCAACAGTCGTCCTTCCCTTTAAAGTCTTATTTTTGACCAAGCTCCCCTCCCGTGTGACTGCAGGAAATCCAGTTCTGTCCCAGAGTGTTCCAGAGAGCATCACCATGGAATGTCAAGCAATGTGGGGTGCGCATTCCAGCATGGAGCGGTCTGCTTGCTTCCAAGGGACTCCCTCTGGTGGGCCCGGAGCCTCTTCTCTCTGAAGCTGCAGCCCTTTTGGGTGCCACAAACCATGCACTCCACGCCCCCCCCCCCGCTTTGTTCCCTAAACACAGCTAATACAAGGCTTGGGGATTAACAAAAGGTGATTCTAAGCATAAGACAAAAACAAAACTAGGAGCCTAGGAGCAGCTTATCTCTGCCCCCAGGGTCCCCCCGTCCATTTCTCCCCTTGGCCTCTGGCTGGCTGCCCCAGTGGTAGAATTCATTCCCCTTGTGTCAGATGGCACACCTGACGGGCATGGTTTCCCCTCCCTGTCTCCCACTCCTGGCCAGCAAAACCAGATGCCTTTCTCGGCACAATAATCTCTGCAGAGGTTATTCAGGGTTTCCAGAAGTCAGCCTTTCTATCACTCAACAAAAGAGCTGGGCTGCGTGGGGCACCTGCTGGCCCCTGGGTCTCTTAGACGGGGCCTCCCTACCACTAAGGAACACAATACGTTCGTGTTCCCTGTTCCACATGATGTGCCAAGTGAACCGATGCCACCACTGCCCGCACGGGCCCATTTTCCTCCCCTCAAGGTGAAAAGGAATTAAAAAAATAAGAACACAAACAAAGGACCAGTATTTAACATCTCAGAAACATTTGCATTCAGATGACTCTCCCTTAGGATCCTCGCTCCAATGGTGGGTAGGAACGTGCCTTATAACTACAGGAGGAAAAAGGCTCACCCAAGGGGTCCCACTCAAAACAGAGTGGTTTTTACCCTAGAATGCAGGAATCGCTACAGATTTTTTTCGTAACACTTTAAGAAACCCTCCCCTCCTCATCTGCAGAGTGTGAGGTGCGCATTCCAGAGCTCACGACTTGATGGACAGCTTGGAAGCAGGGGGAGACCACTGTCCTGCAGGGGGCCTCCACCCCTCGCTCCACTGTGTCTTACGTCCCCCCCAGCTGACTCAGAACTGTTCATGGGTCCAGGCAATGGTGTGGGGAAACAGGGCTTGGCACGTGGCAGACACTGTGAAATGTACAAACCAGAAAGGCCCCAGGGGAGTGTCTTTCTGTCCCAAACAGAAGCAAGAGATAGGCAAGTGCTTTATTTAGAAGTTACTAAACACTCCCTGGCATGGGAGAGTTGTTTGTTAATTAAACTGAAGGAGGATTAATAAAATGACCACACTTAGGCTAACAGATTGCTTATTCTTACACTTGCCCTGACTGACCGGTTGCTACTCACAGTTCCAGGCCCATTGTTAAAACTAAAGCTATTGATCTTACTGTTTCTACTTTATTCCAGTAATCAAAAGCTACACTCGTTCTTGGTCTCTGAGTCGATCTCCAGGGAGAAGGTCACAGAACTGTAACCTTACAAAGTAGGCCAAATACCAAGAAGACCACACCTTGAGTGCTTAAAAGATAAAAAGATCGAAAAAGTGAGAACTGATAGCCTCTATAGAATTGGTTGCCTGGAGGCATCATGACGCCACTCTAAGTCTTCTGATGAGAAAATGATTCTGTTGATTGTTATCAGTGCTCTATTGTTTGAGCTATGGCTGTATAACCACCCCACCCCCTCCCCAAGGTGGGTTCACAGTTTTAAAGGCACTAGCCTGCTGGGAGTTCCCTTTGCCCAGCAAAGTAATAAAGCTGCCTCTTCTCTTCTAAGCTCCAAGACCCGGTCTCTGAGTTATTTGGCTTGTCAGGGACCGGGACGGGGGCTGATCTTTCAGCAACAAAACAACACCTGGTTCATTTGATTAATGATTAATAAGGTCTATGAGTTCAAAGCGATCTTCAGATCAAAAAGTTTACTAATACATGACCGAGTTAATTCAAAGCTAAAATGTATAAAATAAAAATTCCTAGTGCTTGGGTCCTGCTCCAAGGGAAGTCTCAACCTAGACCGTATAATGAATAAAGACCCTGAAGGTAAGGGTATTGGGAACTCAAGTGATCTGAGCTGGTTGGGCAAGGTGATTACAGGAACTAGAGGCCATGGCTTTACCCTAGTCATGATTTGCAGAAATGAGTGCATGCTCGATCCACCAGCACCTGTCACTGCTGTGCAAAAGCAGAGAGGCCAGTTGGGAAGGGCAGAGGGAAGACAATCAAAGACATACACACACACACACACACACACCAGACTCCAGCATCTAGGAAACAGGAAGAGGCGGTCAAGTTTGGACTGCTAAGAAAAGAACAGAGTTGGAGAAAGTGAACGGTTTCACTGCAGGTCTATCTCCTCCAAACAGGACATCTAACAAATCTTACGTGAGACGCTCTGGAGGTTCCATCCTGCTCTTTTCCACATTCTTCATATGTCCCAGGCATTTTGAGAGCCCTTCCCTGGATTCCCTGGGTGGTTTCAGCTCTTGGCTGGCACTGACAATCTCCAGCTGTCATCTGAGGTCTTCCGTCCTGCCAACATTCTTCAAAGCACAAAAGTCGCTCCTTCCTCTCCCTCATTCACAGAGGTCCATTGATTAAATTATTTTAAATATTCATCCGAAATTCAGTGGAGATTAGAAATTTCAGGTTTTTTGGTGCTTATAAGGCAGAAATGCAAGATAAATGGTCCTGTGGATTATACTTTAAATTGGGAGTGTTTTTTAGACAATAAAGAATAAAGCTGATGTATAATTTTTAAATGAAAGTATTTCTTGGGAAAGTGTTTCTAGATAAGGCCTAGAGGGACCCTCAGGAACGAGTTACAGATTTTCTTCAAGGCTTCCTCCCTTGAACCGCACTGTGGTCTGAAAGGGCAAGTTAGAAAAAAAAAAACAAAACTTCTGAAAAGAGTTCTTCGTTACTGGGAATGTTCAAGCAGAGGATTCCAGGATGCTTCAAGCATCATAGACTAGGTTCAGCCTAAGAAAGAAGCAAGGCCCCTTCCTACAAAGAGAGTGAAATGAAGTATGTGAAGTGCCTTCCTCAGGGCCTGGTGCCTAACAGATGTGTAATAAATACCAGGTTCTTCCCACCCTGAGAGTCCAGGGGTCTGTGAGCACATATATTGGATGTATTTCTCGAGGGGTAATTGGGTACATTCTAGATTCTTCAGGAAGCCCACAGTTGTCTTACATGGGGCCACTGAGAGAGGAAGGCAGGGGAGGAAAGGAGGCCCTTTCCCTTGGCCGACATCAGGAGCTCTTCCTCTGCCTGGAGTTTTTGGCACCTTCAGGCAGTTGCTGGCTTGGGTCTCATGCTGTCCACCACGGCCGAAATCACTGCTCCTGCAGCCTTGGCACCTTCCATCAGCACGTGCTCCACCTGCGAAGCAGACCAGTTGGTAGGACGTGCAGTCAGGCCCCTAGGCTCGCGCCCTGCCCCACCCCTACCTCACCACTCCCCTTCAGGAACTGGCCTGCCCAGGAGGAAGCCACCCTATATTCCCAAAGATCCTAGAGCCGTGGGAGAGCTGGGGAAGCCAGGATGGCCTGAGGTGGACATCGGAGGCAGGCTTGAGCTCTTTCTCCCAGGGCGCCTAGGCCCCTTCCTCCCTCAGAGCCATTCAGCCCAAGGTCTGCCTCTGGTGTGGGGCTCAGAGGGGCACAGCCACTGAACCCCTGATTCTACATACAGGGAATCTGAGAGCCGGGGAGGGGAACTCACTTGGACAGAGTCCACAGAGTGATTTAATGTTTGCACTTAGATCTGGGCTCGGGTCTTAGGCATGCAGGGCCCGGTCTCCCTAGGAGGACCTCTTATGGTTTCCCTGATTCCTCAGAGTCTTCTCTCCCTGCACAAATGCCCATGAGGTGGGACATCCCTCATCCCAGAGCCCACCAAGCCCCGAGCACAAGAGCAAGTTCTCCCAAGAATGGAATGCAGGCTCGGAGGCAGATGCAGAGAGCGGAAGGGGGAGCGAGGGGGTGCGAGGCCCTCTACCCCCACTGAGAGACGGGAGCAGTGACAGTCGGAGACCGGTATTGGGATCTGAGTCCCGTAGGTTATGGAAACATAAGAAACAGAGAAAAGAACATAAAAAAAAATGATGCTCCCCTTTAATTTTTGATTTCTTAATCTATTGGAAAGGTGACAATAAACACTTCCTCCACTCATCTCATGGGGTCTTAGTAAAGTCCAAATTGTCACAGAAATTTGGGCTTCCAAAGCTCTCTCACATGTATTGTACCATACTTAACTTATCAGCGCCATTTATGGTGGAGGGAGGGATCCCAAACTCAAATGCCCACAGACCAGGCAGGTCGTGTGGGTGAAGCTGGCAGGTGCCACACCTACCCCTGCACCCCATCTCAAGGGGGAGCCCTGACTCAGCCCCCCAGTGTGTCAGCAAGCTGGAGCGCAGGCCCCGTGGCCTGATCAGTTGGTTGTTGAAGTAACGCTGGGAATCCGGATCTTTTTATATAAAATTTCTATGTATTTTTTAAATGTTGGCAAGCCATTCAAACTAAAACAGAAACATAAAAACAAAAACTAGTTATCCAAGCAAAGCATGTCTGTGGGCCGGACGTCACCGGGAGGTCGCTGATTTGCAGCTTCAGCGCTAAATATCTACCTCAGCTTTTAACAGCCTCAGAAATGAAGTGCCTTGACAAGGAGGACAAGGGAATTAGTGGCTGCGCAGGGACCCCCCCCAAGGGGTCTTACTGCGGCTCAGTGCCTCCTGGACTCCTCCATGGGTCAGTAGAGGCAAAAATACCTCCTGAAGCATCAAGTCCTCTAGTCATGGGAGGCCCCACGAGCACAACAAATACAAACATATCGATCCATCACCATTGGGCCCCTGATGTGGCAGACAAGCCCCAAGGACGCCCGGCGAGACCCCTCGTCCGGAGGGGGAGGGGGAGGGGGACGCCGCACCTGCTGGCTCCTGGGCACGCCGTATCTGAGGCCGTTGACGAAGTGCTCGCAGTTCCCATCGATCAGGCTGTACTGCACGATCTTGTTGATCATCTTTTTCGTCCGCTGGATGATCTTGTCCACGGGCAGCGGCAGGTACGTCGCATCCAGCTTGTTGTTGACCTTCCAGGGGCAGCCGTGCAACACGTCCTCCAGGCGACTGTATTTCACCACCGCCCGGCTGCTGAAGACAGAAGTGATGCTCCCGGCCTCCAATTCCTCACCTGGAGGCCGAAGACAAGGCAAAGTTGGGAAGCTGAGAGGGGCAGCAGGGCAGAGCACTGGCTCACCCCAGAGCTGGGTAAGCAGCTTCTCTTGGGGCCCCGGTTTCACCGTCTCTAAAAGGCATGGCAGAGGATGGGAAGCTGGACTAATGAACTGCAAAGGACCAGCTTCCCCAAGAAGCCTTCTGCCCTGCTTTCCGCACTTCCCACTTTCAACACCACCGCAATCTCTTTCTCATAAAACTCCGTTAGTCCCTTATGGTGTGGCACAGGCTCCATTCGGTGCACTGACCTGACCAAGTCCTGGAACTGGAGTCTTGCTTTCCTAACCAGACTTCAGTAATCGTCACAAACGTGGGATAAGCATCCTTACATGTAAGAGTCAGCTCCCAGGTACAGGGCTATCCGATGGGGCCATGACAGCCCTCCCGCCATGGCCACTGCGGGGGCGCAGGTGAAGCCAAGCAGACAGGTCTCTGGCTGGGTCCCCCTCCAACCAGCCTCCACCCAGAGCCACTCTGCCCTTCTCTCAAGTATTGGGATTCTCATTAAGGGTTTGTTTGAAACATGTTTCCACAGCTGTGAAAAGGGAAACATTGAAAGCTGCTAGATTATCATATTCAGTCCTAAGAGGAGATAGAGCCTCAGAGAGGGTGGGGAAGCTGCCCAAGGCCAGGTAGGTGGTAATTTAATACTAGGACTGTTTTTCTGCTACAACCATATGAACATACAAATGTCCCTTATTCCTTTCTTATTTGAAGACTGTCTGCTGATTTTACAAAAGCTGGCAGTAGGCAATTCAGCTTTTAGGAACAAAGGTAGCAGAACTCATTTTTAGAGGAAGATCTGATGGGGATGGTGGGGACATCACTGTTAATTTGTATAACTCTTTGGTTATACAAGAGGGACGCTCCTGAACTTAGTCTGGAAAGGAGAGGTGGAGATGAAGGTAATGTGAAGCAATTTTCCATTCTTCACGTGGGCCTCGAGATGGAGAGGGACTCTGCTCTGCGGGAAGGTCCCAGCGAGGTGAGAGGCTGGGCCACCAGAGGGGGATGGGATGCAGGGCTGAGAGCCCTGAACAACATGTGGCCAGGCCTTTAGTACCAGTGCCATCCTATAAATCAGTCTTGTTTGTCTTGTGGGGGAAGGTAATTAGGTTTATTTATTTATTTTAACGGAGGTACTGGAGATTGAACCCAGGACCTCCTGCATGCTAAGCAGGCACTCTTACCCCTCAGCTATACCCACCCCTGTTCAATCTTGAATGGACAGTACTTGCACAGGATGCAAAACCCAAAAGGCATCAAAGATTACACAAGGGAGCCCCCTACCTCCCCTTCTCCCAGCTCCCCTAGGTCCTATAACCTAAGGCAACCACGTGATCCATGGTCCAGTTTGTCCAATTTGAAACTGTTTCACATTCTGTGCTGTCATCTTCTACTCTCACTGCCTCTGCCCCCATCACATGTCCACCACAATTTAATTAGTCATCCGTATAACCTGAGCCCTGTGTTAACGCTGCCTGGAGAAATGAGAGGAGGCTGTCCACACTGAGGGTGGCGTGGCCTGGGAGGGGATGGAAGGGTAGGGAGACAAGGTGAGGGTGGAGGTGCCAAAGGCGATCGGGAAGCAACATTTGAGGACAAATAGGAAAAAAGTGACAACGAGAACACGGAGCGTCTGCACCCCTCCCGGAGAATCCTCAGAAACAGAGGAAGGATATTTAACTGTTGTCATTACAAAATGAAGGCTCCAGATCTTAAGTCTCTATTGTAAAAGAAAGGTGGTCTCGGTGGTCAGGGAACTTAGGGACACTCCTTACACATGCATCTGCCTTAGAGCTGGTCATTCAGTGCTTTGGGGGACACAGAGATCAAGATCTATCACACGGTAAGTTAAGGTCCAGTAACGCTTCAGGGCGTTCTATCACTAAAATGAGGCGGCAGCTGAGGAACACATGATTAACCGTCCTCTTTTTACTTTGCTAACTGCAATATCAGCATTTCAATAGAGTATCCACCCTTACTCGGGGGAGCCAGGTGGACCACACAGTCATCTTCCACATAGATGGCCCAGTGCTCATAGCCAATTCGAAAAATCTCAATCAGGTCTCCGGGTCTGGGTCTTAGTTTGCCCTGTGATGGAAAAAAAAAAAAGTAAAATAAAGAGACTGCACATGCTCAAGGAACTCCAGAGACCCTGTTTGGGGATCAGCTAGAGCTCAGCCTGAAGACACTTCGTTTCATCACTTTACAGAAACCCAGGCTGCAAAAATCTCTCTTCACACAAAGGGCCAAAGGAGCCGCTGGCTCCTGTTATCACCCCCCTTATCAAAGCCACCGAGGCCGACTGTGACAGCCCTGAATGCACCTTCCGTGTATATATGGTACACACATTCTGTAAGCATTTCTCCTTGTTCTGTAAGCATTTCTCCTTGAAACTGAGCACCATGTTGAGCTATTTCAATAGGGGGCGCTGGAGGGACACTGCAAGAGGAAGGGGCTCTCCTGCAGGTTCAGGCTTGGGCTGGCGGGCTGCACCAAACTTGAAATCCTGGCATAAATCTCACCTTGTCGTGAGGCATGCTCCTTTTCATATGCTGCTGAATTAAGTGTTTTGATAATAGATTATAGTATAGCTTCTTCCGTCTATGTTCATGAGATGTTAGCCTGTAGTTCTTTCCCTTGCCTGACTTTAGTATCAGGGTAATTTTGAAGTTACAGTGAGTTAGGAAGCACTCCCTCTGTTTTTGTAACTGAGCAGGACCCTACGGGGGGCCTTCCCGGGACAGATCCCCTCCTCCACCATACCCTCTGCTTTAGCTCCTCTCTGAAGTACCTGGATAATAATATCTGATGCACATTTCCTGAGTTGTTTAACAGATGCTAAAACCCCCACCAAGCGGAAGAAATAAACTCCTTGATGACCATGAGACCTACTGGAGCCAAAGAATTGGTAACGTTAACCCCTGTGACACAGCCCTGTTACCTCCCCATCAACCAGAGAACTATGTACAAGCTGATTACATACCCTGTGACCCCTCCTCCCTCGCCTAGCCTTAAAAAATGCTTTGCTGTCTATGTCTGAGTGTCCTTCTGTTTTGTAAATAAGTTCATTTGTACCATTTTTTTAGATTCCACATATAAGTGATATCATATGATATCTGTCTTTCTCTGTCTTACTTCACTTAGTATGATCATCTCTAGGTCCATCCATGTTGCTGCAAATGGTTACCAAAGGGGAAAATAGGGGAGGGATAAATTAAAAGTTTGGGATTCACAGATAAAAACTACTATATATAAAATAGATAAACAATAAGTTCCTACTGTATAGCACAGGGAATACATTCAATATCTTGTAATAACCTATAATGAAAAAGAATATATATAATGTATAACTGAATCACTATGCTCCACACCAGAAACTAACACAACACTGTAAATCAACTACACTTCAATGTTTAAAAATGCTTTGCTGAAACCCATCGAGTTTGGGCTTTCTGAGAACAAGCTGTCCCAGACTCTTTGTACGGTTCCTTACAACGAGCACTGCACTTTCCTTCACCACAACCCAGTGTCAGTAGCTTGGCTTTACTGCACACAGGCAAGCAGACCCAAGTTTGGTTCAATAACACTTTGGGAAAGAGTTTGTGAGGGATCGGTAATTTTTCTTCTTTAAATGTATAGCAGAATTCTCAAGTGAAGCCATCTGGGCCTGAGTACTTCCTTGTGAAAAGATTTTCATTTACTAATTCAATTTACTCCTTGTAGGTCTATTCAGATTTTGTAGTTATTCCTGAGTCAGTTTTGTAGTTTGTGTCTTTCTAGGAATTTGTTCGCGTGGGTTTTCCAATTTGTTAGCATAGGCTGTTCACAGTATTCCTTTACTATCCTGTTAATTTCTGTGAGGTTGGTAGTGAGCCCCCTTTCATTCCTGATTTTGGTAATTTGAGTTCCCTCCCTTTGTTCTTGATCAATGTCGCTAAAGTTTTGTCAATTTTGTTTATCGTCTCAAAGAACCAACACATGGCTTCAGTCGACTTTCTCTTTTTATTTCCCTTTTCTACTTCATCGATCTCTGTTCTAACATTTACTGTTTCCTTCTTTCTGCTTGCTTTGGGTTTAGTTTGCTTTCCTTTTTCTGTTTTCTTGAGGCAGAAATTTGGTGTATTAATTTGGAATCTTCCTTTTTCTTTCATACAGGCATTTATAGCCTATATTAAATCTTGCTAAGCACTATTTTAACTGCGTCTCATAAAATTTGATATATTCTGTTTTCACTTTCATTCAACTCAAAAGTATCTTCTAATTTCTCTATTTTTCTTTTACCCATGGGTTATTTAGAAATAAGTTGCTTCCAAATGCTCATAGATTTCACAGATTTCATTCTGCTATGAATTTTTAATTTCGTGTGAACAAAGAAATATTTTATATGACTTCAATCCCTTTAAATTTGCTGGGAATTGCTTTATGGCCTAGAATGTGGTCTATCCTGGGGAATATTCATGCCTGCTAGTATTGAGTGGAATATTCTGTAAACATCAGTTAGGCCAAGTTAGTCAATATTGTTCAAATCTTCTATATGCTCACTGATTTTTTGTCTGGTTGTTCTATCCAGTACTGAGACTGAAGTATTTAAGTCCTATGATGATGATGATAATGATGACGATGATGATGATGATGATTTCTGGATTGACTGTTTCTCTCAGCTTTCGGTTCATGAATTTTGAGGTTATGTTGTTAAGTGTGTATATGTTTATAATTGTTACAACTTCCTCATGAACTAACCCGTTATCATTGTAAAATGTTTCTCTCCTTTTCTAATAATATTTTTTCTCTTAAAGTCTATATTGTTTAATATAAATATAACCAGTCCAGCTACAGTTAGTTTGCATTTTTTTACATCCTTTTACTTCCAACCTATTTATGACCTTGAATTGAAAGTCTCCCTTTTGTAGATGGCTTATAATTGGATCCTGAAGTTTCAAGTCAGATGATCTCTTCATTTTTTGGACCATTTAATTGATTCACATTTCTCTCTGTTGATTCAAGGTACTACGTGGAGTCCTATCATTGATCCAATATAGCTCCATTTCAGCATCCCTTCCTTCTGCCATTAAAGTTATATTTATTACATCTTTGCATGTTAGAAGACCAGCAATAGAATTTTATAATTATTGTTTCATAAAATTGTCTTTAAAATTAGCTAGAATAAAGGTATAAATATATATATTTATACACTTTTATAATAATAACCTATGTAATTACCTTTACAGGTGCTTTGCATTTCATCCTGTGGATTAGTTACTATCTGGTGTGACTTCCTTTCAGCCTGGAGAACTTTCTTTGCTATTTTTTGCAAAGCAAGCATTCCAGCAACATATTCTATCAGTCTTCATTTATCTGAGACTATCTTTATTTCACTTCTGTTTTTGAAAGCTGGTTAATTGGATATAGGGTTTTTGATTGACAGCTTTTTATTCTTTCTGCACTTTCCATCTGCTATCCCACTGCTTTCTGGCCTCCATTGTTTCTGATGAAAAGTCAGCGATAAATTTCACTATGGTTCCCTTATACATGAGGAGTCTTTTTTCTCTTGTTGCTTTCAAGATTTTTCTCTTTGTCTTTCAAAGAGAAAAAAATCTGTCTTTCAACTGTGTGGATTCTGCTTCCCCCCGTGGTGGTGGTAGTTGCTGTTTGTTTGTTTATTAGGTTGTTTATTTGTCTGTTTAGACACTTGCCTGGACTAATTCTGCGATGTCTGTTTCCCTGTATCAACTTCAGTTGTTGTTGTTGTTGTTGTTGTTTCTTGCTCTTATTTTTAAGCCTGGCTTCCTGGACCATCATAGCATAATGGTCAGCCAGTGAGTGATCAGAGGTGGAGCCACATCTTGGGCCAGTAAGGCATCACCCTTTGCCTATGGAGCTCTGTGTGATTTGGAGAATTCATTCAAGCTTCTAAAGTTTAAAAGTGTTAGGGGGGAGGGTATAGTTCAGTGGTAGATAACATGCCTAGCATGCACAAGGTCATAGGTTTAATCCCCAGCACCTCCATTAAAACAAACAAACAAACCTAATTACCTACCCCCCCAAAAAATTTTAAGTCCTTCCCAGCTTTCACTTTCTGCATTCACAAGGCTTTGCATTTCTCCAGGAACTAGAGACTTGCTCAGGCCCTTCCAGTCTCTCCTGTATGTATGTGCAGACTTGTGCATCCCTTTCAGACCACCAGATGTGGCAGCTTTACTAGACCCTCTTTAGCTGTTTCATTACCTGGATTTCCATATTAAATATCAAGTCTATCACTTGTCCCAGTCAGTACTGCAACCTCAGACTAACTGCAATTTTGTTTGGCCTTCTATGATTTTTGTCACTGATATAATTATTGTTTTCAGCGACATCCCTGAGCACATATTTTTCCACACTCTGCTCCAAATAAAGTTGTCCTCTGATGCCACTACCAGTCCTCCTGGCATGTCCCAACCACCTAGGTACAACTTCCCCACAATAGAGCTGGAGGAGGCGGGAGGAAGGGGCTTGCTAAAACACTAGACTTCTGCTGTTCAAAGATTCCAAGATTCAGTAGACCTTCTGGATATAACGCTTATCAACTTATTGTACGTCTTTGGTCAAATTTCAGAGTCTTTAAATGGCTGCCTTTGATGGTTTTGTCCAGTTTTATTTTTGCTTTCTGAGGAGATTTCTGAGATCCTCAGTTAGCCATTCCAGAAGTCTTGCCCATTTGAGGGGGTGAGTTTTTACAGGGAACAGAGAAGACCACCTACACTATTATATTAAATGAAAGGAATTGAGGCCAAGAAAGATGAA